CCTTTTCTTCTAACAACAGAAACCAAAAAGATTGAGCGAAACAGTTTCCATCTCCGTATCAATATTATCAGGGGCCAATTCAATACCTATAATTCTTAAGCATAACCACACAACTGAGACAATAAACACCCTAAAATGTAAACACACAATCCAAAACCATAAGTGACAAATAACCAATACCACTGATCTAAAGAAGAACTTCTAGTTGAAAGCAGCAAATAGATAATCACTAACATAATTGAGATCATGGGAGTGTAGCAATATCAGATCAATTTGAGGCAATTCATTTCAGGTGAATAATAAACATAGAAAATAGACAAAAGAGGTAAAAAGACCTGAGCACGGAGCCAAGTGTTGGGTACGGAAAGAGGGCCATGTTGCTTAAATCGTTACGGAAACACAGTAAGTTAACATATAAACACAGTAACTAAATACAAAGAAGGGTTGTTTTCTGAATTTTAGTTACTATATTTTTACTTAATACATCTTCGCCGACAAATTTATCTTTACGGAAATAATATCATAATAATAATTTGATGATGTAAATTAACCTTCGTATGAAACCATATAACTCATTAGAATTGCTCAAATCGACATATATAACTACAAATTTTATCCTATGCATGCTGTATAGACAAATTTTTGTTGTCAGTCAAGCTTTTAATTTTTCGGGTTCCATTTGAATTCTTATATTTGTAATGGGGTAATCCTGAAAACAAAGCGAAAAATGGTATAAAATCATAACATTTAATTAATTACATAAAAATAATGAAGGAAAAAATATTAGAAAACGGCGTATACTTTAACGAGTGTGTTTTAATTAGAAAACTATAGCAGTAACTAATGAATGTATTTTTCAACACAATAATATAAAGGGAAAAAAAAAGGGAAACGTTAATAACAATAATAATAAGACGTTATTTCAGGTTTAACGGCATCTGCGTTCCACGTATTTATTAAGTCGGTCTTACCCATTCACGACCCCACGGATTCGCGACACGTAGACATCCTACATCTTTAATCTTTTGTTTCTTGTTTGTGACGCACGTTACATCAAATCACAAACAAGAACCAAGATCGCTGTCTCTCTTTCTCTCACCCATTACTGAGTTTCCTCACCTTCTTCTTTCTCTCTCTCGCATCTTCTTTCTGTCTCTCTCTTTCAGTCACCGACGTCTCCGTCGCAACGAGTCTAGTTTTTCTTCTGTCTCTAGCTTTCCCTATCAACCGATTTGATATCTCACTCTCTCTCTCGACCGATTTGATATCTCTCTCTCAGGGATATCCATCGCAAACCTCAAGGGTTCAAATTCGAAAAACCAGGGAGCATCTCGATCACTCTTAACTTCTTATTTTGGAATTTCATCTCATAATGTGTACATCTTGTGTTACTGCTGTTTTTCTTTTTCTATGCAATATGATACGCTCGTTGGTTAGATATTTGTTTGAGGGTATTGCATGGGTATTAGGGTTCGATGAGGTTCTAAAGACACAAGCCATCATAACATTAGCAGGCTTTACCGTTTTTTTTTCTTTAAGTAGGTTCTGGAAGTTGCTTATAGGTAGTGAGGTAGATTATGATAAGCTACCCTGTCAATGTCAAATTCTAGCTCCTGCACCAATAAATCAGATAGGAGAGGGAGGGTTTCTTTTAGACATATGGAATACTTATAGGGGTGAAATTATCCAAACCCTCTATTATCTAGGTATTGCAATAACTGCATTCGTGGAGGTACTTCTTGTTAAAAATTGGAATTCTGCTAGGCTAGCTAGGATCAGGGAAGCACTTGCACCTTGTGAAACACTCGGTCAACTTAGAAAGACTGCTATAGAAATCTCTGTTCTTAGACTGATTGTTTTAATTGGTGATGTGTTATGTGACCCTAAAGAGGTTGATTTTTTCCTCTTCCTATCCTTTGTGTTTGCTTACTTAAACTTTGTTTCAATTTTCAGGTTGATAAATTTGGTCCAAGACTTTGGATGGCTGGATGGGCTTGTTTCTGTCATACTGGCAGCTTTTGAACACTTCATGAGGCCATGGTCAATGATGCAGCTTGTAGGAATTCTGCTCACCACAATTGTTGTTTGCTACAAAAACACAATGTGGTCTGGCCAAGGAGAGAGGCTCCCACAACAGAGAAGTCTAGAAGAAGGAACATCATTGATCCAGCTTGCTAGGAGAGGTGAAGAGGAAGGAACACCATTGGAGAGAAGAAGCTGAATATGTATAACACAAGAATCTTCTGCACATTGTTTTTTAAGTTGTATAGTTGATGTGTGAGAAGAATAAACAAGAAAAGAGGGTTAACATTATCCTCTAATAGCTGCTAATGATTGAAATAATGTTTTCCAGATTTTATTAAACTGGCGATTATCTATGTTTATGCTTCTTTTATCTGTTTTAGATGCTTTTACTTAGCCTTAGAGTATATATGATATTAATTAATTAGAAGTGACGTTGATATTCCTGTATCTTATTTTGATGGACTGTTGTGATAATTTATTTATTCCTTTAAAAGTAAAGAAACATATTATATAGCCTAGCTTGTATGTGTATATATATATATATATTGTGTAGCTAGAGTTTGGGGTGGGTGGCAATAGACTGATGAGTATGTTCAATCACCATCTGAAATAATATCCTTAAGAAAATAGATGGCGTATTCATACCAAAAAGAAATATATATATATATATATATATATATATATATAAACAGATGGCATTAAGTCAGATATTCAGATATCAAACTCTTGTGCTAAAGGATTCTGGATTCACATAATCGCTTAGTGATTTAGGTAACTCATGAGAGTTTAGACAAATTTAAATGTTAGATTTTTGTTTTTGTTATAAACAAAGTAACTGATGTAATAAGTATGATCATGATTCATATGGGTAATTTTAATTACTCCAGTCTTACCCAAAAGTTGGAGTAGTTTTGGGTTGAATCATTAAAAAAAATGTTTTTGCCAACCTTGAAATCTTTATCTAACTAACAAAACCGAATCAAACCATTTATAAGTTGTTAATATTATATGTATTGTCAAATACCTGAAAACAATAAAAAAAAAAATATCAAAATTTTGATTAGAGACCGAACTAAAACATGGATCATTTGGCCTCCATGCGGAAAACTTAACATGTAATATACCACATACATGAAAAAGTGAAAGGAAATAAGAGAATATCTTAATAAAAATGGTGTCTTTTAAGATATATAATGTTGGTTCCTCCGACCAAAAAAGAACAAAATATTAGTTTCATCAGTTTGTTACATTCAGTTCACTTTGTACTAGATTTTAGATATGTGTGGAATAGTGGAAAAAACCTTTTTAGCTGAGTTTGTACTGTAAATCTTGAGATTGGGTCTCGGTAACTGTAAGACCACTTTTCATCATCAGTTGAGTTTGCTTCAGAAGATTGTGTTGGGGCCACCATCCATTTTTTCTTTTCTTCTTTTGTTTTTAGTACGTACAAAGCCATATTAACTTTTTTTTTTTAGTCTCGATGATTTACCGAAACCAATTCACGAAATCCATATAAAAATAAAAATTTAGGGAACTTAGCCAAACATTATATCGGAGTTACTATCGTTTTTAGAAAGATATGAACCTTTTTTTTTTTGGATGAAGAAAGATATGAACTTTTCCTTTTTGTATTTCTCTTGTTTATGCGTTTTGAACAAGGAATAAGCTAATAAAACATAAGAGTAAATATATATATATATATATATATATATATATATATATATATATATATAAACATTGCATTTGGATCGACCCTATGTCCTCCTCCTCACTTGCCTCGTATTTGTATCACAGCCTAACACACTGTTCACACTTCTTTTCTTGTTTGGTTCCACTCGTCAAGCTCTTATCCGCTGCTGCAACCGTGTCCAGTAACTCAGACAGCAAAGAAGGACAGCTCTCGTTCAAGTGCTTGAACCCTTCAGACTTCATTACGCCTACACAAAACACAAATGGCTAGTAGTTTTGGATCCAATAATGTTTTAAAATATTCTTGCCAGTCTTGAAATCTTTATGTTACTAATTATCAGTTGATGATAAGATAAATTTGTTTTGGGTTATTCCTGTCAAACCAAATATATGCATACAGTGTAGTTGGTGTTAGACGGAAAAAACCAATGAAAAAAATTCTTTTGATACATTTTAAATTGATCAACTTTTTCTTTGTAAAAAAAACAAACCGAATCAAAAATTAAAAAAAAGAAAAACCAACTAGGTCCAAAACCAAAACCGAATCAAAACCATTTATAAAATATGTTCTAAATTAGATATTTAACTAAAAAAATTTATCGGAAACCGAACCAAAATATGGATTGAAAACTCTCCTAAGTACAATATGCACGAAAATATAGAAGGAAATAAGAGAATAATATTACATTTATGAAAATAATGTTGGTTGCTCCCGGAAAAAAAAACAATAATTTTAGTTTCATCAATTTGATTTTAGATCTGGCTTGTGTGGAAGTAACTTTTTTAGTTCAACTTGAGTTTGTACTGTAAATCTTGAGATGGGCTCGTGGTCGGACTAGCTTTCATCATCATCAGTTGAGTTTGCTTTCCACAAAATTATGTGGGGGCCACCATCCATTTTCTACGAAACGATTTAATTCTGAGTCTCGGATGATTTACCGAAACCATGTAAAAAAGTCACCAAATCCATATAACAATAAAAAAAAGTCTTAGATCGTTTTGTGCCCATTTCCATAGTGTACAATTACCAAATAAGATCCAAAATCTGCAATAGATCTAAGCAGTTCAAATGTTTTTATAAGATACTAAGCAACACAAATCAAACCATAAATATCACAATGCTCTGACGTTTTAAGAAACAAAATCACTTGAACTGAATAGGTGTTGGCCTCTACAGAATTCTTTGCATGACTATTACTGCTCGATAATGTATCTTCTGGTCGGTCATTCTACAATTTTGGTGAAACATGCGTTTGAGAACGTGTCAAGGTTCACATCACAGCATATAATTCAAAGCTTTTATAACCACACAAGCCCAAGTCCAAAAATGAAGAGAAATCACAGACAAAGAGGGTACTTACTGAATAGTAGAGAGGATGTCTATTGCCTAAAGCTTACACTACTGTTGACATACTACGATTATTCATTAAAAATTAAAGTCTACCTAAACATTTTTGGTATATGCTTTGCTTCCAGATCCGTAAAGTAGCACCAGAGGAAAGCTTCATTGCATTTGGATCGACCCTATGTCCTCCTCCTCACTTGCCTCGCATTTGTATCACAGCCTAACACACTGTTCACACTTCTTTTCTTGTTTGATTGTCCACTCGTCAAGCTCTTATCCGCTGCTGCAACCGTGTTCAGTAACTCAGACAACAAAGAAGGACAGCTCTCGTTCAAGTGCTTGAACCCTTCAGACTTCATTACGCCTACACAAAACACATCACTACTTTTTTTAGGTTTCCCCTGGATTTTCTTCAGGGATGATATCGTTGAATGTAATAACACTCTGTTCCACATAAACAATAAGTCCACCATACTGGAAAGAAACATATTCATATTCACCGTTTCAATCATATTCAGCAAATGTTTATACTGCATTTAGGTAAACTCAGCATTAAGACCAGGACATGCGTTGAAGAATCTCTATCTTCCAGAATGCAAGATTATTTGGCATATTTAACTTTAAACTTGATTGTCTATAAAAATAGTGGAGAAATGACCTACTTATCGCACCTAATTGAGGAGGATTAACTTCAGGCCGTCTAATCAAACATCGAGTCTCCTATTTCGAAAATGACATAAAACAAGAAACTTCAAGTTCAGTATACTAGCAAGATAAACTATAGGTACAAACTAGCTCACAAAACTTCCAGCACCCTTACAACAAACTTTACCGCACTAATAATAAACTAGTTCAATGCAGGACCTATCCATTCTACTATCTCATCACATGGTAATACTGTTGCAACTGAGTCAAGAAAACATGAATAAACATGATAAATACGCAAAGAAAGTCTATATACGCACATAAATATACAGACTAAAAAAAAAACTGAAACTGTCATTGATCAGTATATATGCAAAACTAACCTCTCAAGTTTGATGGAGATGCAACAAATTTTAAGCAGAAAGCTCTGAGCTGTAAGAATTGGTGTTGTTCAGCCAGTGCAAGTGTTGTTGCCACATTATCAACATTAAGTTTTTCACACAGAAAAACTTCACATAATATCTTTAACCTTCCAAGGTCATAGAGGTCAGCAATTGCCAAGAGATGTTGTATCATGTTTGTGAATGAACTGGCAGAAGTTGACCCTGTAATTTCATGCACATCAGGAAGTACATCGGTGTAGATGAAGCTAAGCATAGCCTATAAAATTTAAAGAGGCCCAAATCAGCAGATTGGTAGTTGCATGTAAAAAAAACTATTCACAATGTAATATCAAACAAACACATTACCTTAAAGATAGAAGGCTCGACGTCTTCTATCACTATTCTATCCACATTGTTATTCCCAATTGGTCCATAGAACTGAGCTCTAAAAACCGGTGAGCGTGCTGCGAGGATCAGTTTGTGAGCCTTGTATGTCTCATCTCCGACTTGGAAAGCTATGTCACAACCAACTTCAGAATCTAACAAGTCTTTCAATCCCTGACCCATATTCGACGGAGGTAGCACAATGCCATAGTGTTTCGGACCCTCAACACGGGCTTTAACAACTCCAACAGTACAACTCACGATAAGACAATCATCCTTCAAGAAGTCAGAGGTTTCTAAAGCTGTTCGTCTTAAAAAGCGTTTGTAACCCCTGAAAATTCGTGATGATAAGTCATGCTAGAGAAACACCAACTTCCAGAAGGAAATCTCACTGTACCACTAAATAAGGGTCTACAAGATGTCAAAAGCAGCCTTTCTAATCTAGCTAATTTGCTCAGAGACCAATTTTTTAACTTTCAAATGTAAGAAACGAGTAAAGATGACACACAGGCTAAGACAAAATCCAACATTTCAAGCAATTCAAGCAGAAGAGAAACAACATTGCCAAAATCTGTATTCAAAATTCGAAAACCATATGACAATGATAGAGAATCGAATCACTGAAAACACTAAAAAGAAGCAGGAATTACCACATGCTGCCTTTATACTTGAGCGTATAAGGTCCACCTTCGAGAGCCCGATCGAAGTGACTGTGAACCTTGTGGTGTCCTTTGCCGCTCTGATCTATCAGCGTAAGCTCGAACAAAGCTCTAATGTCACTAGAATCACTCGCAAGAGCGATGAAGAGAGAGACGTACGTTGGGTTGTCTTCTGGGTTTTTCCCGTCCGGGTAGAAGTAGATCGCCCAATCGTATCCGCCGACGGAGAAGACGTCGCTCTGAATGTATTTTCCGGCGCTCATGCCTTTCGCCAGAGAGTAACCCTTAATCGTAAACAGGTGCGACCCGTTCACCGTCTCCATGACCGTTGTTGATACGGAATCCGGATTCAGCTGCTCCACACCGGCGGAGCTCATGATCGCCGTCGCTTAACGAGAGAAAATTTACCGGATTCTATGAGAATTTGAAAATGGTAAGCTCCATGAATCGGAATTTGATAACCTAAGACGATTGAGGTTGGTTGAGAATTTGGGGGAAAACGTTATCTCACTGCCTTTTTTTTTTTTTTAATTAATTCTACTAATAAATCATTAACTGTTCCGGCTTTTGTCGGCCAAGTTTAAGACTCCGATTTATGACATAAAACGCTAAAAATTATGGCTAAACGTAAACGGGAACGGAATAATTAGAAGGAGTAAAACAACCGTAAGAAACAGCAAAAAAAATTTAACTAAAATTTCCAGATTCAAAAGAAAACTTCAATTTTGTTGTTGGTAAAAGTTTCCTTGACTTAACAAAATTAGGTTTAGAAATAGTCAATTTTTAACATCTCTTTGCATTATACTGGCCTAGTAGAATTAACCAGAGAATAAAATAAATAAGAGAAGACTTGAAACAACAAAAAAGAAGAAGAATATTCTATTATTTTATGAATCCAACATTCAAGATTACACAAATATTCAGTTGTCTACTTATGTATATCGGAATAAACAAAACGTTTGGTTCTCGAATATATATACAAGATCACTTCTCTCTGTTTTCTTCTAATTGGTTCATTAATTTATTCTGCCTTATACTGTTGTACATCATAGTGTTAGTCTGTTACACACGGTGTTCTCAACAAGAATAAAGATCAAGGTCGCTTATTTTTTATCATAAAGATCAAGGAACCATGCGAAGAAGGAAACAAGAAATAAGTTTTGCTCTTCCTAGTTCCTCCATCTCATCAATAACATCATATCATATGGACAAGAAAAATGAGATCGATCAATGACAAACTCGACGATACGATTGCCTGGAAAAAGACACAAGGAGAATGTGTTTGTAAGAATCGGTTATGGAGAGATAAGAAAGGTATGTTCCATGCATAGAGCTACAATGGTGATCTAAGAGTCTGCGGTATATCTGAACGATGCTTACATTACATAGTCCTCCATGGTAGGGATATATCATATATGTTGCCATACTCTTCAACATGGAGCCCAATATGCAACAGTCCCTTAGAGCATGTCCATTAAGGGTTTATCAAGAGTTTATGACATAGATTTTAAGACGAAATTCAATAAAATAATAATTTTAAATGTAGAGGTTCATGGTCAAAGTTCTTCCCGACGAATCTGAAGAACCCAAGTTCATCCAGGTTCATCACACGTGGAGCATCCTGATTAATCCAAAAAAATAATTTTCGAATTTAAAAAAATAAAAAAAAAAATAAAAAAAAAATTATTATATTGGGATGAACCTATTTCTCAGAAATTCATTAATGGACATGGTCTTATTACTATCCGTACCCGACCACATGCATTAAAAAGGAATCTGGTTTGTTTCCATTTTGCTTAAAACGGTACACATATCAGAAAACCTCTTCTCCTAGTTCATTCATTGCCAAACATCTTATTACACTGTACCAAGAATCCAGATTCTTCTCAAAAAATTTGCTCAAAATGCCTCACCAACCCACACTTGGAAGTTGGAACCATCACACTGTATATCGTGTTTGAAGTTGTGGAATGGAACAATCATCATGGAAGATCTGGACAAAGAATAGAGATTAGTGGAAAATAAAAATAGTGAAGACGAAATCATTAGACCACTTAGTACTTCCTCCATTGTTTTTTGTTCTGACACCACATAACCAGAATGAGAAGCTTCCTTCAGTTTTTGCTAGCAAGTATAGCAACTAAAGTAATTCATTTTTTTCTTCAAAAGTAGAATAATTGTTGTGACTTTCGTTCGACCCAACCAAAAAAAAAAAATGTTGTGACCGTAATGCTAAATCTCTGTAAACTTCCTTGTCCACACTTAAAAGTCAACAGTAATTAAAGAACGAAAATTATAAGGTGTAATCAATTCTTGTGTAATCAAATTCTTGTGTAATCAAATTCTTGTGTAATCTTGTGTAACTGCCAGTTACTTAAAAAGAGAGTATCTGCAACTTGTAAACGAAATCTGAATTCTTTTGTAATGTAGTGTAATTTTTTTTACCGAACGCCATAAAGTCCAAAACCATAGAGTAAAATAAATAATAATGGTTTTTTGTTTTCTGCTGCGATAACTCACTCGAGCACACACCGTTACGAACAGTTGCGCAGATCCGAGAGAGATCGTTGATCCTTCAAACGCAAGCTTAATGAAGCCCTTCGTTAATGGCGATCTCCACAAAAGCCCCACTCTGATCAAGATCTCCGCCTTAGTTCTCCTCACCGTCGCTTTCTTCTACTTGGGCAAGCACTGGTCCGACGATGGCTACCAGCAGCTCGTCTTCTTCTCCTCCTCCGCCACCAGCTCCGGGACCTCGATCCCGGAGGTCTCCATCTCTCCCAACAGTAACATGACCTTCAATATATCCGCCATAATTCCTGCTAATCACACCGAGGCTGAAATCCCCGCCACAACGCAGCCGATTCCGTCGGTGGTCACCGAGACGGAGATTAATAAAGTGGAAGCTAATCCTCCTCCTCCCTCTCTTCATCCACCTCCTCCTTCTCCACCTCCGCCTGGTCCGATTCGGAGCTTCGGGATAGTGGATGCAAACGGCGTGATGTCTGACGATTTCGAGGTGGGAGAGATTGAGAACGACTCTGTGGAAGATTGGGGGAACAAGACGGAGATCGTGGAAGGGAAAAAGGACGGCGATTCTAAGGTTAGGGTTAGAATTAAGAAATTCGGGATGTGTCCTGAGAGCATGAGAGAGTATATACCTTGTTTGGATAACACCGATGCGATTAAGAAGCTCAAATCTACTGAACGAGGGGAACGATTCGAGCGTTATTGCCCTGAGAAAGGTAAAGGCTTAAATTGCTTGGTTCCACCTCCTAAAGGTTACCGTCAGCCGATTCCATGGCCTAAAAGCCGTGACGAGGTACTACTTTGTTGAGTTTATGCTTCACTATTGGTTTCAGTGACATTTTGACTAAAGCTCCAGTAGAATTTTTTTACATTTTAGCTGGAAGAATCAGAGAATATGTCTTAAATAGTGTTTGGAATTGATTTGCGTAAGTTTAAGATGATTTTTTGTACGGATAGGTTTGGTTCAGCAATGTTCCTCATACTCGGCTTGTTGAAGACAAAGGCGGTCAGAACTGGATTTCACGAGACCCACGAGACAAGAACAAGTTCAAGTTTCCTGGTGGTGGTACACAGTTTATTCATGGTGCTGACCAGTACTTGGACCAAATCTCTAAGGTTGCTCATTTTCAAGTAGTAGTAGTAGTTCTTGCTTCACGTCATCTATCTGTTTATCTTTTCGTCTGATGTTGAACTTTGACTTTGTGTGTGCAGATGGTTTCTGATATTAAGTTTGGCAAGCGTATTCGGGTTGCTCTGGATGTTGGTTGTGGTGTGGCGAGTTTTGGCGCTTATCTATTGACACGCGATGTTTTGACAATGTCTGTTGCGCCAAAAGATGTCCACGAGAACCAAATTCAATTTGCTCTTGAGCGTGGTGTGCCTGCTATGGCGGCAGCATTTGCTACAAGGCGTTTGTTGTATCCAAGCCAAGCTTTTGATATTATTCATTGTTCAAGATGTAGAATCAACTGGACTCGTGATGGTAAGGTTCTCTGATGTGATTGGTTCTTTACGTAATTCAGCAGAAAAATATTTAGGTCGCGCACCTACTGTAGTTTTTAAGTCTCTATGGTGAACGACAGTTTAACTTCTTTTACTTGTGGAGAAAATTCTCATTCTACTTTTTCATTCTTGTGATAAAGATGGAATTTTGCTCCTTGAGATCAATAGAATGCTGCGCGCTGGAGGATATTTTGCTTGGGCTGCACAGCCTGTTTATAAGCATGAAGCCGCTTTGGAAGAACAGTGGACAGGTACACCCGTTTAATCTGTTTGGAGTTAGTGATCATGGCACGTAGCTTTGTTAGAGAGAATGAGGAATATGTTGAATTAATAACTCTTTTCTGAATTATACATATTTTGTCTCTGTGTGTATAGGGAGTTTTTTGCTTCCATTTACTACTTCTATTTAGCCAATATTTGTACTCTTTTAACTCTCATGTTTTGCTTTCCAGAGATGCTGAATCTTACTAATAGCCTTTGCTGGAAGCTGATAAAGAAGGAAGGATACATTGCAATCTGGCAGAAGCCTCTCAACAACGACTGTTATTTAAGTCGTGAGGCTGGAACCAAACCTCCTCTTTGTGATGAATCTGATGACCCCGATAATGTTTGGTACAGCTGCTTAACTTTTTTTGTCTTTCTTTGTTTGTGATACAAGGACATAGCTTGCTACCTGCATCTGGAAGCATACCAACAAAATAATAAAGGCTATATATACTTTAATGCTGCTAGAGTTGCATCAAAAATCTGCGTATAGAGTCAAACCTGCTTATAGACTTGGTCTGTGACATTGTGTGCAAAAACTCACACTTTCTTTGTCTCATATTGTTTTGTTCTTGCTTTAGGTACACAAACCTGAAACCTTGTATCAGTCGCATACCTGAGAATGGATATGGAGGCATTGTTCCTTTATGGCCTGCCCGTCTCCACACTCCACCTGATAGGCTGCAGACGATAACATTTGATTCCTACATTGCTAGGAAAGAGCTATTCAAGGCAGAGTCAAAATTCTGGAATGAAATAATAGGGGGTTATATCCGTGCCTTAAAATGGAAAAAGATGAAACTAAGAAACGTTTTGGACATGAGAGCAGGCTTTGGCGGGTATGAAATGATATTTTTACTGTTAAGTACTATGACTTAGTTTCTTAGCTTACCTCTCTTTGTTTGATTTCTTTGGTTTTTTGGTAGATTTGCAGCTGCACTAAATGATCATAAACTTGATTGCTGGGTTCTCAGCGTGGTTCCTGTCAGCGGGCCCAATACGTTGCCTGTCATTTATGATCGTGGACTACTAGGAGTGATGCACGATTGGTACTAACTTTTCTCCTTACAATCTATCAAATAAAAACATAGAATGTGTTTAGTAAGTTCTGGAAATTTAGTAAGCTCTTAAGAGGCTGTTCTTTTCCTGCTCATATTTGATTTAAGAACATATATTCATCTGTCTGGCTCCCGGCTATCTAGGAAGTCGTGCATTCAAGTTAAACTAAGATTTAGGTTCTGGCTCGAGCTATTTAATAAGTCGTGCATTCTACCTCTCAGGTGTGAACCATTTGATACTTACCCGAGGACATATGACTTCTTACATGCCTCAGGGCTCTTCTCAATCGAAAGAAAAAGGTAAGCCGTGTCTGTAACTCAATTTCAAAGTGATAAACTCATGTCCACAATTGATGATTGACAATACGGGATTCACTCAAGATCATTCTACTTTTGTACATGAGTTATAATGCTGAAAAATGGTTAACATGTTTCATGGATTTCTGTGGTTATATCAGATGCGAGATGTCAACCATATTGTTAGAGATGGACCGGATATTGAGACCGGGAGGAAGAGCATACATTAGGGATTCAATAGATGTTATGGATGAAATTCAAGAGATCACAAAGGCTATGGGTTGGCATACGTCTCTGCGTGACACATCCGAGGGTCCTCACGCAAGTTACAGGATTCTAACATGCGAGAAGCGACTTCTTCGAGCTTAATACCAGACAAATTACTACTGCATTTAGTCGACACAAAATATATTGTTTGGTTACATCTCTTTATTTGTTTTTTTTCCCTCATTATGTAACTGTAAATTTGATTGTGGTGTTTTACTGAGTAAAGTTTTACCTAGTCCTCGGCTTTTAGTAAAAAACAATTAGGCAATTGCAAATCTGATGATTATTTAAAAAAGGTTACGACTTTCTCCATGGTCTGAGTACAATAATATCGTCCAAAACTATGGGAAGGAATGTCTCTAGGTCTTCTTCACAAGTCATTCTACTATTCAAGATCTTGGCCTCCACATCTGTCCGCGTTGACTTTGACTTATTTGTGCTGGTCTCGCAAAGTTCACACCATTACTTTGACCTGGGGGCCTACCAATGTGACCCTGATTCTGACTCGAACCTGCATGTGTATTTCTCATTGGTTGTTTCCCGTTCTTATATTGACTCTTCTGCTGCGTTTGAGTTTGTGTAATGACAGGCCGAGTTTGGCCTTGAACAGGTGTTTGTCCCTGCATATTCCTGGGGTTGTTCTGAGACCAATTCTGCTGCGCTCGGGACCGTGCTGAGGCTGGCCAATATGGCGGATTCTGGACATAGTTGCTCTGTGACCAATGTTGCTGCATTTGGTGGTTCCATGGCCTAGACTGACCATGCAGATTATGGCCATTGTTCACACCGTTTGCATGATGATGATTATGGAGGCTTGTTCTACTACACAACGGCTGTGAAATGTGTGGCGATGTCAGAACCCCAACGATGGAGTTTCTGTTACAATCTGTGGCAAGACGGCGAGATGTCATCTCAAATACTTGTGCAATTCTGTCCAAGCTTTTACGGCTCACACTCCTTGCTGCGTTCTCAGGTTGCTCAAAAGGATCTTCAACCTAAAACACACACCATTTATTTTGCACACTTCAGTCAGGAAGATTCAAGTGTTGTTGTGTGTTTCAGCCATAAAATGGAAGGGTGAGAGAAAGAGTCTTACAAAGAGTGAGTATGTCTTTGGCAGCCATCTAGTGTTACTGCTTATGTTTTCCCATCTTCCAGTAAACGGACAAACACCAAGTTCTTTGGCCTTTACGTTTATGTCTGAAAACTGATAAATACAGCCACACAAAAAAAAATTCAAAAACTAATTTCCACCAAGACTAGATACAGAAAGAGAGACAGAAAGTCTAAGCTCCCATACTGTGTGAGAAATCAATTACCTTTGCAAAAAACGAGACCAAAAGCTCAGAGAGCGAGCTTCGATTGACTGCTCTTGATGTGCCTGATCTAAATCTCGCTATATTAGCAGCAGAAAGTTGCGCTATGCTATCCTCCTGCAGTTTTTCGCACACCTACAAGAGACCATGCCGCTACTGTATCACAAAACCTCATAAGTTTATGTGGTTTGGCTTGAGAACCTATTCATAAAAAGTACCTTTCAGATCATCAACCGCACTCCTCGGATATATGTCTCCTAGAGGCGGCAAGATTGCAGGCACACATGTCTGCATCAAACAACAAATTATTAAAACACCATGTTTTATAATGATGCAGTATGTGGCAAATGCAGCGGAATCTATGAACATAGAGCTGTTAGCTTACCTGCAGATGAAAGATGACTAACAAACTAAGTGAGTAAGAGTTGAAAGTCCCGTTCTTTGGGTTGTTGATATCATGAGCTTTGGCCCATTCCTTCACCTATAAACGAGGTAGATATGTCTAGAATCAGTTAAACCTTTGGAAACACACAATCTGGTTTTATTAGCATCTTAACTTACTAGCAAAACCAAGTCACGGAATCTCCAATCTATCTCACTGATCCAGAACAAGAACCTGCTCTTCAAGAGCCCTTCCAGATTATCAATTGAAATGTCACAAGAAATTCTCTGGTGGCCGCTCACGACTTTCAGAATGGGAACTCGCGCATGAGCAACAAATTGCAGCCTGTACCATGCACCTGGTTTTTGCATGATAATGGACATCAGACAAAATCGCCATGGAAAATACTGAAACTGGTAGAAAACTTAAGTGATTTAAGGGGAACCCCGTGAAGCAAAAGCTACTTGAATCACCTGACGCTCTCAGTGCTCGAAGTAACTGTCCAAGGAAAGTCTGCTTCTGCTTCTTTCCAGTGAACAAGATGGACGAACCGCTGAATAAGTCAACAGAGATATCTAAGTCTCCCCATCGTGTGAAGAGATTTGACACAAAGGATCCAAATGGTTGAACAGTCGCACCTAACAATATCAAACCAGAAAATGAACTATCAGCAAGTTCTTCCTTTTCATTTCCAATCTTAATATCACACCCATGGCCATATATGGTTCAAGGCAGTACTATACAGTAAGAAAAATGGGAGAAGCACAAAAGTGTATCAAGGGTCATCACCTCTTAAGCTTTCTACGGATTGTAATGCACTACGCAACTGATCAATGACGGTCATCCTCGCATCCCAATCTGCTCCTGTGGGTTTAATCGCTTGAAGAATATCTTGAAGGGTAGGATCAAAGACAGGGTTCCTACTCATCTTCTACAAGAACACACATTCCCAAATCCCAAGTTATGTCAAAGAAAACGTTAGGCAAAAATAACACAAAGACTTCACGAGACTCCAATCAAAATTAAATCTAAAAGCACTGGGTTTAACCAATTCTCTATAAAACAATCGTCAAGGCTCCATTTTTTTTATAGCTTGCTAGCTTACTACTCCAAAGTAACAACCTTTTTCACTAAAACCAAAAAGCAAGATTCTTCAGATACCCCAAAGCCCACATTCTTGGTATCATTAGAACTGTGAATACTCTACTCAAAACATTCTAAAACTCTGAATAAAAAAACGAATCAGCATAACATGAGTTTTCGAATCCACTGGGCTCAAATAAGATAAAAGAGGTGATAAACGAAGCAGGAAATTCTTAAGAATAAACCCTAATCAGTGGGAAAAACAAACAAAGAAACTTACGAAAATCTCTCTTCCGAGCAGTGAAATTCTTGGAGGGAGTAGCAGAAACCTTGTTCCTTAGAACCCAGAATCGAATTCCGATCTAGGGCTTTTCTACTACTCCATCACCAAATTAGCAAATCCGTACTGAGATTTCTCTTTGATAAGTTTTATGCGATCGCAGCATATACACTGAGACAATGAAAAGTCTCCTCCTACGGAAGGTTTAGTATTTGTAAAAACGCGAACAAAGAAAGAAATTCGTATGTATGCTTTTTTTTATTATTACCTAAACTCGCTTTTTTTTTTTTTTGCTAAAATTAAATGAAGTTCGTTTTCTTTTAAGACTCATTTCGTCTTTATGTTACTGAGTGAAATGATGTGACCATTTTTTAACTGGTCAATAATATGATTAAATTATCCAATTACAGAAAAGTTATTGAATGAGATGAATTGAAAGAAATCAAACGAAAGAAACAGGATGACATATGTTTCGGTCGATTACGTAAATGATGGAAACTGGAGATTTCATATAAGTAATAGAAAGATTTTAAAATTTTATTGTTAAAAAACCAACAACAAAATTTTGTTAAAAAAAACACAACAAGATTTTGTGGGTGCTATAAGTTATAAACAAAGCAAACACAGTCGCTACTAAGGCTCGGAACCTCGGATCATTGGTTAGGGGTTAAATACTATTACACACTGTCTTTTCTGTAACTAGTCGCTTGAAAGCATAAATCACCTTTTCTTCAATTTCCATTTCAGCTGATCAATCTTAGAACCAATTGGTAGTGACCAAAAATCCAAAGGCACCATGTTCTTCTAGTTTGGTCACAGAGATATTCAAGGCTCAATAGACAAAAATTCAGGTCGGTTGCCACTAATCATCACTGCCATCAATTCTATGAATTCACTAAACATCCTCCAGCTAGCTACAAAGACACAAACCCTTCTCTAGCCCTCCGATATGTTTGCAGTTGTGGCTATCGACAGCTTAGAGCTGGTCGCTTGGATATACCTTCTTCATTGCAAAACCTCTCTACTATCAGTTCACTTCCTTTTCGACCACTTAGAATTTGATTCTTGATAGTTCCTTGATGTTCGAAATGTAATTTTGTTTTATGAGTCCATATTGGCAACAAATTATGTAAAATAAAGTTCCAAATCTCATCTTGCTAAGTTCTTCCATCGCCACACAATTGCATGACATTTGAGACCTTGTAGCACAATAAATCTATTGAGAGCTCAGACATCAACTATATAATTGATTTGACTTTTCTTATAAAATGAATATCATCATGCTTAGAAATATATATGAGATTCATTAGTCTAGGCATCAACAAGCGATATAATCTTACCCAAATATAAGCTTCAATCTTCAATACATAAGACCCAATGATTACATTCTAGGTTGCAAGTATATGTAAGTTGTGGCAAAATCTTGGTTATTGATCTAAGTTTCTTTTAAAAATATGTGAAAGTATTACATAACTTTTAGATGCATGAGTCAATATGTAAAGCCTATGTTCAAATTATTATATAAGGCGTTAATTGGGCATTAGAGAAGGATATCTAGCGCCTAATCAATTTAATCAATCATGGACTAATAAGAGATTTATTTAGGACTGTTTCATCTTTATCTGTTAGGTAGAGAAAGTGTACTGTAGTGTAGTGGTTAAGATGCTTATTTTAGAGTAAATGTGCGAAAATAAAATCTTGAAAAGGAAAAATATTGGGATTTTATTTATTTTGTTTTCATCTTAACTTTCAGAACTGCAGCTTATGCTCCTAAGTCCTAATCATATCACTTATCAAAAAAACAACCATATATTCTTAGACCATCTCCAACCATGGGTTATTGAAAACAGTGTAAGAGTTCTCAAAACAATAATATAAAATGAAATCATGTACAAAATAAAGAGAAAAATCTTTAAATACATAAAAAGAGGTTCTGAAACAAGAGATTTTGGATACCCTCTCTCCTATTTTAAAAGCCTCTATAATATTTAATTATTATTTTTTATACATATAATATGAAGAACTTCTTCTAAAATCAGCTCATTGGAGTTGATCTTACAATGTGAGAGTCGGTCCACATTTTTTTTTTTTTTTGGTAAACGAGTCGGTCCACTATCCACATAGGTTAGCAATCGTTTGATTATTCAATATCGTATCTAAACGTATTCCAAAAACTCAACTTAGTCTCATTCTTTAATGTTTGTTTTCTAGTCTTGCATACAAATGTTTATTAGGATGCACAACAACTACAGTCTACATATACACATTGCAAGCAATCTTATCATTCTACAAGAGAACGAAACACACATTTTCAACTAAAAATATGTGATAAGACGCCTCTATGCCAGGATTGTTCAACATTCTACTTGAAAAAATGTGTATTTTGAACATTTATTCCAAATTTTAACTTAAGTATATTATAGATAAAATAAATAATAATTAGTTTAGATGTTAGCGGTTAGTTGAACAATGGTTAGTTTGTAAACCATATGGTTTTGTAAACAATGATGTATGGTATACATTTGGTTTAATGATAGAATAAGAAATCTACACTATTGGCTCTAGGCAAATTTCTCTCGGCCAATCAGTTTACACCGATTATTTAGAACAACATTATCACTAAGTAGTAATGTCATTATCTAATATTTGGAGCTTTACTGTATGAAGAATTCTGTAGAAGTTTCTTGATCACATATGAATGGCTATCTCATCCTCACAAAAAAAAAAAGCAACACAATAATTTTTGAAAGCATATGTGGTAATAACCAACGTTATAATCTTCCCTCGAAGCTAAGGCGTCAAAAACAAATCCAATGGCACAGATGAGCCAATTCACGACAACCTCATAAAAACACGTTCCACGTGGACCAATCACAACAGAGTCCTCCTCATCGGCTTCCTTGTCAAGCCACGTGGCGCATTGGCCAATCCGGATCGTGTGGCGATCAGAGAGTTGAGCTTCGAATACGAAGAGATAACGAATTGTTGATGATCACTCGCTTTATAAATCTCTTTAATTCTTGCCCACACCATCATCTCTCACTGCTTCTTCTTCTTCAACTAATCAAAATCTCTCCTCAGCTTCTTGTGTGACGCACACTCGTCGCAGTCGTGAGAAATGGCCGCCGCAGTTTCCACCGTTGGTGCCATCAACAGAGCTCCGGTAATCAACTTCTTCTTCTTCATCTCCCTTTCACTTCTTATTATGATTTAATGTTACTTTTAACACTATCCACTTGAGTAGTTTTGATTTTTCATAATTCAGTATCACTTTGAAATTCTCTGTCTTACATATGTCGTCAGAATCTGGAACTAAACTAGAGATTCTTTGATGCTTCTCTTATCCTCTACTTGGGAACTATAAATTGGTAGATTTCTTTAAACCGGTTTGGTTTAGAAACTATAGTAATCGAATTGGAGGTTCGGAAATTATTGGAGGATTCTGTGTATAAAGAAAGTCAAACAAGGTCAAACGAAATAAATCTTGGTTCAGTTTTTCAGATTATTTTGGTTTGGTTCAGATAAATAGATTTAGCTTGAACACCCTTTAATCTTCAGTGATATAGTCTATGATTCTATGATCATGATCTATGAGAACCAAACTAAATTTGGGTCTAATTTTCAGATCATTTCGGTTTAGTTTGGTTCGAATGGATTTAGTTTATATTGATCTTTAGTCTCTACTCTCTAAACCGGCTCTTGAACCATGCGAATCAAATTTGAATTGAGCTTGGCCTCTGTGTGTGTTGCAGTTGAGCTTAAACGGGTCAGGAGCAGGAGCTGCTTCAGTCCCAGCGACAACCTTCTTGGGAAAGAAAGTTGTAACGACGTCGAGATTCGCACAGAGCAACAAGAAGAGCAGCGGATCATTCAAGGTGGTTGCTGTGAAAGAAGACAAACAAACCGATGGAGACAGATGGAAGGGACTTGCCTACGACATGTCTGATGATCAACAAGACATCACCAGAGGCAAAGGTTTGGTTGACTCTGTCTTCCAAGCTCCTATGGGAACCGGAACTCACCATGCTGTCCTCAGCTCCTACGAATACATCAGCCAAGGTCTTAGGCAGTAAGTCTTTTATCTCTCTAAATCTCTCATCAGTTCCAAATAGAGTTAGAATCTGTGGGTTTTTAACATCGAGTTTCTTGTTTAAAATAGGTACAACTTGGACAACATGATGGATGGGTTTTACATTGCTCCTGCTTTCATGGACAAGCTTGTTGTTCACATCACCAAGAACTTCTTGACTTTGCCTAACATCAAGGTATTATTGATTTAGAGGCATTTTCTTTTGAGTTATTAGTTACACACGAAAGGTTCCAACTTTATTAATCTTGAAAATGCTCTGTTTTTGACAGGTTCCACTTATTTTGGGTATCTGGGGAGGCAAAGGTCAAGGTAAATCCTTCCAATGTGAGCTTGTCATGGCCAAGATGGGTATCAAGTGAGTCCATTTTCCGTTCTCCAGTTCCCATTTCACTCTCATATAACCAACCAAAATCTAAAAAAGTTCAAATCTTTTCGCAGCCCAATCATGATGAGTGCTGGAGAGCTTGAGAGTGGAAACGCAGGAGAACCAGCAAAGCTGATCCGTCAAAGGTACCGTGAAGCAGCAGACATGATCAAGAAAGGAAAGATGTGTTGTCTCTTCATCAACGATCTTGACGCTGGTGCTGGTCGTATGGGAGGCACTACTCAGTACACAGTGAACAACCAGATGGTCAACGCAACGCTCATGAACATTGCTGATAACCCGACCAACGTCCAGCTTCCAGGGATGTACAACAAGGAAGACAACGCACGTGTCCCAATCATCGTCACCGGTAACGATTTCTCCACTCTCTACGCTCCTCTCATCCGTGACGGACGTATGGAGAAATTCTACTGGGCACCGACCCGTGAAGACCGTATTGGTGTCTGCAAGGGTATCTTCAGGACCGACAAGATCAATGATGAAGACATTGTCACGCTTGTTGATCAGTTCCCTGGCCAATCCATCGGTAATAAAAAAGAAAGACTTTTTCTTTAAAGAACTTGCATATAAGTTGGTGCAGATTCTGAGAAGTTATATGCTTTGTATGGACAGATTTCTTCGGTGCATTGAGGGCGAGAGTGTACGATGATGAAGTGAGGAAGTTCGTTGAGGGACTTGGAGTTGAGAAGATCGGAAAGAGGCTGGTGAACTCGAGGGAAGGACCTCCAGTGTTCGAGCAACCGGAGATGACTCTTGAGAAGCTTATGGAGTATGGAAACATGCTTGTGATGGAACAAGAGAACGTCAAGAGAGTCCAACTTGCTGACCAATACCTTAACGAGGCTGCGTTGGGAGACGCAAACGCGGACGCTATCGACCGCGGAACTTTCTACGGTTAGAACCCGAGGTTTGAGACTCCTTTGTTTTCGTTTTTTTTGTTGTTTGGTTAGCCAACGGATTGTCTCTCAAATTGGTGTGATGATGTGAAAAGATAGAAGAGAAAGGGATGAAAGAAAGGAAGAGGGAAAATGAAACTAGGGTTTCTGAAGTTTATTGTAACTTGCCTTGCAGGGAAAAGTGCACAGCAAGTGAATCTGCCAGTTCCTGAAGGGTGTACTGATCCTTCGGCCAAAAACTTTGATCCAACGGCTAGAAGTGACGATGGCTCTTGTGTCTACAACTTTTGAGCATTTTCCTACCTATTAATTTGCTGTTTTTGTACTATTGTCTCTTTCGGTTTTTATTTTTCCCCCTCTGTGTAATTGTGGATTGGTTCTTGTCTTTCGTTCCTTCTTTTTTTTTTTATGATCATGTGCAAACATTGATATTGTAAAATTGCCTTATCATAAGCCATTTCTCAACTTTTTTTCGGCATTGTCTGCAGTGGAATAAATATTTAGAGATTAAGGCTAGATGTGGTTTAACAAAATAAATACTCTAGATGTGAAGCTGAAGCATGCGTCTTCTATGAAGATTATCAGCTACTTCAAAAACATGAAAAGAAAAATGAATTGAGCTAAAACAAAACTATCACTCTTAAATTATTTAGCCAGAAACTGTATTCACAGTCACAAAGCAAGAGCAATTGGCATACATGTATCAACCACTACACTAGTAGCTGGGTTTCTTACAAAGAATACATGTCTTCTTAGTTCTTATAATGGATTTTTGCAATCTCCAAACTCTAACTTGATGGGTATTAGTAGATGAACATATTTTGCGTATATATATTCCAACTGTGATCAGAATTCCTTTTATTTATAATAGCTCTTGAACAGCCGTACAAATTATGCATCATCTCGTACATATTAACCAGTGTTACAAATTGAAGAAAACGAATCAATTTCCTCTCTTTGTTATCTATGATTCTATATAACAATATCTTGAGTAGTATGCTTAGGCTGAGACTACATAAAATGGTCAGGTTTTAGATGTAACGACCTTGATAGAGGAGATGCTAACCATATCAGGGTTTTTGAGTTGATCGAGTTGTTTAGTACCAAGCCGAAGCAAATACTCAATGTACTGGAAATTCTTGCGGTCAACCTCCTTTGAGTTCTTGTGGAATTCTGTTGACACGATCATCTCTATTCTCCTCCTGTCTTCTGTTGTCTTTGAACGAGCTGCTCTTAGAAATCCCCTGTAGAGACTCAGGACTTGCTTTTGCATCCCGGAAAGTTTCGTAGCTCCCATTTTTTTTATCTTCAAAAGGACCAAAACACCAAACAAGCTAATGTTAATCTTTTGTCATGAACTGCATTTCCAAGGACAGACCAAATAATCAAAGCTAAAGAAGCACGGTGATGAAGAATCAGTAAGATAACAAGTACAAAGAAAAGTTCATTTGCAAATCAACAATCACACAAGATAGACTGTTTAATCATAAGCTGGAGCTAAAAATCGTACACGAAGCAGTAAATTCTAATTATCTCTGAAGAGCAATCCATGAATCAAAAATAAATGTGCAAATATATTATGAGCCATTGAATATAACGAGGCATTGGAAGGCAATTCTGGGAATTTAAGAAGAAACTCAAATTGATTCTAATTTTACACTAAAAAAACAAATACGAACATGCGAAATCCGCTGGGTAAGCAAAAGAGATTCAGATAGAAAGAAAACACACGACTCTCGTCAGATATTCACTGAACCATGAGTAAATAAGGATCAAACACTCAAACTCACAGAAGAAACCACCAGAAGAAGAATCTAAAATATGCAAATATATTTCGATTTCAAGCTCAACGAGATCTGGGTTGTTTCATCCCACATACTTGGATAAATTCATTTTCCCAAGATAGAACATTCTCAAATGGAAATTCAGAGAAGTTCTCTGGAAAAAAAAAAAGAAGAGTGTGGAACAGAGAAGCAGGAACAGAATCTGCAACGAAGAAGAAGATGTTGTGAAGGGAAGAGCAAGCTTACCTGCAAAATGATTTAATTCGTTCGGCTCCAAAATTGATCGAGCGAGAAGTGGAAGAAACTTTGAGAATCTAGGATAGTTGTGGGGGGGGGGGGGGGGGGAAACAAAATAGAAGATTTCAATGGGCTCTTCTTTGTATTATTACGGGCTTCTGTCTTATTAGTTATAATGGGCTTCTTTAAATAGTGAAAAGAAAAAAGATGAAAAAAATATCTGTGTTTCGACTTTCCAAATTTTAGTGTTTTACCACAAATCAAGGACCAAAAAGATGGAAAATTGTTATTTTTCATCTAAAGGATAATCAAAGTCAAACACAAGAGCAAGATAAGTTTATGTTATAGAGTTATACGTCTATGTGATATTGTGCTGCATCATAAAAGCATTGAGGAACCTTCATCAAATTTATTTAAATAATAATTAAATTTCTTATGAATTATACTTCATAGATTTAATATTAATCTGTCTTCAAAAATCAAAAATATATATCTAAGGTTAATTGATTTTGTTTCGTAAGAAGAAGATTATTCATGAACAATATGATAAAGTAACACTTGTTAAACAAAACTGTTACTGAATTTTCAACAGTTTTTCAGTAACACTTAATCTCCTAACCTTCATGATTTTGTTTTTTTTCTAGTAACAGTTTTGTATAAAAAAAGTTACGCGAGATAAGAATTAAAAAAAAAAAAGGGTTATAATTATAGAAAGAAACAGTTTAGTAGAAGCAAGAGGCATGAGAAGGAGAACGTGACAGCACACGAAATTGGACGGTTGGGTGCACGCCATTTCTGTATTCTTCTTTGTTAAAGACAAAACCAAAGGACCGCCCTTCATCTTCTCCCTCCCTCCTCTCCTTCTTCTTCTCCGTTTCTCCTCTCAAATTCGATTTCTATCTAGAACTCAAAATCTAGTCAATCAAATGTTGTTTCCTTCATCTTCTTCTTCGAAGATTTGATTCTCTCTCTCTCCCCCCTTTCAGATCCCTACCCCCATGGCTTCTGGATCCTACTGGTGCTATAGTTGTAGCCGATTCGTCTGGGTCTCCGATTCCATCTCCTGCCCTGATTGCGACGGCGGTTTCCTCGAACACATCCAAGAGCCCGTCGATTTCACACCGTCCGATTCTTTCCACCGAGTCACCAGCCAACATCGCAGCCCCACCAGATTCCCTCCTTCTTCTTCTTCTTCTTCCACCTCCTCTATGCACGCCTCCACCGCCGGTGACAGTCCCGTCACCAGAACCCGAAGCACTCGTTCCCCTAACCCCGTCATCGTTCTCCGTGGATCTGGTCCTTCCGATGTCTCCGAAGGTTTAGATCGATCTACTTTCCAGATGTATTACGACGACGGCACCGATTCAGGTCTCAGGCCTTTGCCGCCTAGTATGACGGAGTTTCTCTTAGGTTCTGGATTCGATCGGTTATTAGATCAGATCTCTCAGATCGAGCTCAACACCAATCGGAACAACCGTTCGTGTGAACACCCACCGGCTTCTAAATCGGCGATCGAAGCTTTGCCGGTGATCGAAATCGATCTGACTCATCTCCAATCGGATTCTCAGTCTCACTGCGCCGTTTGTAAAGAGAACTTCACGTTGAAATCACCAGCTCGTGAGATGCCTTGTAACCATATCTACCATCCCGACTGCATCCTTCCATGGCTAGCGATTCGAAACTCCTGCCCGGTCTGCCGCCACGAGCTTCCGGCGGAAGATTCCGCCGCCGACGCAGGCGGTGCTGGTGCTGTAACCGCTACCGCCGGTTCGAATGAGGAAGAGGATGACTCTGCGGCTGGGCTGACGATTTGGAGGTTACCGGGTGGAGGATTCGCCGTCGGGAGAATTCCCGGTGGGTGGAGAGGAGGAGATAGAATGATGCCGGTGGTGTACACGGAGGTTGACGGCGGGAGACTCGGCGACGAGAGGCTACCGAGAAGAGTGGCGTGGGGTTCGAGAAGAGGTGGAAGACAAGGAGGTAGTGGGGAGAGAGTGGGTGGGTTTGCGGGTCGGATCATGAGACTCTTTGGATGTTTCAGCGGGTCATCTGGATCAATAGCTGCAGCAACATCATCAGGGTCCGGGTCGAGATCACGGGTCACCCGTAGGAGCAGGTCGTCGTTTGCTCTGTTCAATACGGGGTCGTCTTCCTCAAGGAGACGAAATTGGCTAGCGTGAGGATAAAATTAGAATTTATCGTCTTCTTCAGGTAAACAGGAAAGAAAAAAAAAAACACCCGTCTGTTTCGTTTGTTCCCTTTTTGTGAGGTTTTTTTTTTTTTTTTTTATTCAGTGTAATATGGTTATATTCTTTCCCAATATTTGAATCTATGCAAGTAAATTGATACAAAGGGTTTAGGTGACATTAGTGGTATGGTATATAGTGGTTAAGTGAGATTTGATAGTTGAAATCGTCCTTGAATATTCGGACCTCTTTCGTAGTTGTGTAGTGTTACTTTCACTGAACAGAGAGGTGGTGATAGTGTTGATTAATCGGAGAATGGGATTTTGGAGGAGATTCATCATTGTTTATGGCTTGTGAGTTTATGAAATTTTGTAAATACCAACTGTTAAATTGCAATTTGAGAATAGCTGAATGATTCTGCGATTTTGCTGAATGTACTTACTAAGCACAAGTGCTTTCGGAATCGTTATTTACGGAATATTAAAAAAAAAACCGACCGTGGACTTGACCTGAAAAATGTATCTGACAATCTACAATATACATACAGTCCTCACAACAGAACACAGAGTTATGTTGCCAAAAATTATATAAACTTCAGAACTAGAGAATGATACCTAGAAGCTAGAATCTTAGAAAGGGAACAATTATTTTTGTGGTCACTAAGTACAGAAAACGTGAAGGGAAAGCAATAATAGAGTTATTTACAACGCATCTGATGGTGGTCTCGATTATTGGAGACAGCCTTTGTAGTTTAGCTATTATTTTGTCATTAATAAGACATGTTTATGCCCTTTTGAGTTTTGATATGTCTATGCACTCTTGCTCTATCACAATACTGAAACTGATTTTTCGTTTTCTGGGTCATTGACTATAGCATTTAAGGTTTTGAAATTGCGTATTAAAGTTTTGGAATTTTTTAATCCGTTTCTTAAGACGGACTTTAGGTATCGGCCAAAATTTTCTCCCAAAGATAGAAAAAAAACCTTTAAAACAAAAAGATGGGGAAATACACCGTTGTTTTTGGTCATGATCGTGTTATTATTAATCTCACATATTGGAAGTCCAGATTTTATCTAAGATGGATTATCAACACCAATACGACTATTGGGCTTATAGGTAGAAAAACACTAATCATTTTGTACATCACGCTATAATCATGATTTTGATTTTGGACTGAATAATGTATTTTCTCAAATAATGTTCTTTCAAGTAATTGGAATATAAATATACCAACGAGGCTAGCTATGCATTATCAAGTGTTGTTTTCAACAGTTAGCTATCGAATGTAACTACACAATAAGAGAGTGACATAGAAGAGCATCATACGGCGAATTGACCTTGTGTTTTGCTTTCTGATGGAACGAGATAAGACATACACTTACAATGCATGAAAAAATATTGGTTTTTGTAGGGCAACGTTTGAGGTAAATTATTAAAATTCCTATTTTGCAGCACATTCTTCACTTAATCGTCTCTGATAATCATGTAACAATTCGACTGTGGTTTTGAGTTTTTTTGTAATGCGTAGTTTTTAACATATTTTTCTAGTTAGCCACTTTGCATCAGAGAAAATTAAAATCAGATTTTGTTTACTGAGTTATTAAGTTTTCTTAGTCATGTTCCGGTTGATTAGTATCTGTGAATTCCACTCATTTACTTGCACAAAAGATTTTTGAATGAACTTGTAAGATAAAGGATATAAGAACCTAGAACCAGACTGACTCTGAGATTGGAGAAGGTATCTATAATCTAATAAGTTGACCTATATTATTATTAACTAAAATATCAAATTGAGAGAAGAAGTATTCTTAGGCAAGTGATTAAGTTCACATCTGCTAGCTTTCTTAATAGGAGTTCGACTCTACAATCCTTTTTAATAGGGTAATTGGGTCAGTGGATCGAACCTATAGAGCCATGGATCATTGTCACTTGAGGCACTTACAACTTTTATATTATCAGATGTGCTTACTCAACTTTACCTCAGGATCGGCCCTTGAGAGCACATACATAAAGACCATCAAAATTGGATGATGAAATCACAGTACATTAGAGGAAGTTTACTTAGATACATGCACGCAATTTGGAATACTAAACTCGGAAACTTAATATTAAAAAAAAAAATGAGGTTCACATAGACTTTGAGTTGCATCATCAATCACTTTCACACTCATAACTAAATGTTGGATGACTTCGTAAAATCTCAACAGACCATAATACTACAAACACGATAATATGGTTAAAAGATCTGGTCCCCATACGCACTGGTTTGGCCTTGACGGAAACTTCATTAGAATACAAATTACGCATTTATTCCAAATTGACTTTTTCTTCTTCAATTCGTTTTCATGTTTTCCTTGGCGTTGGTTTTCCGACGAATATTTTTTGTTGATCTTTTGAATATTACTAATTTTGTTGACTTTTAAAATAATCCCAAAAATATGAAAACCATTCATTTGCCTAACAAATGTCCAAAATTGAGTATATAAAAAAATATTTACAAAAATCTTAACTTGATTAAGCAGTGCCAAAACTGAAAGAAATCTTAAACCGAGGTAGCCTTATTTATTAAAAAAAACCTCTAACTAAATAGGAACACCACTAAATTATTGAGATATATAAATTGACACAATTCATATTTATCTTAATTTAATATGGCGTCACTTTTAGTGTTTTGATGCACCATGACCACATTTAAAATTTGCTCACCAAGAGGTAGTGTGAGAAGAGTTGGATCATATACTACTTTTATTTGACAAACGGGTCTCGAATTCAGCATGTTAACCGTGTGTTTTCCATGCAAACTCAATCAAATACTTCTTTTTTCGATCGAAAAAAAATATGAAACTTTTTATTCAACAAACTCAACTCAAGAAAATATATGTGATAGTGTGGCAACTCATCTCCACAATTTTGATATACTGGCTAGTGGCTTGTAACAACTAAACTGATTAAATTTCTAAATTTAAGTGAGTTTTTAAAAAGATAATTAGATTTGTAGCTCTATCTCATGCTTCTCAAGTTTCAAAAGTGGCTCTGATGGTATGATGTATTACAGTGAATCGAGTTGATTCCTGATTTCTACAAAAAAATCTACAACTTAGTGAGGCGAGAAAAATTATAACCTCGAAAATGCAAATGTTATCTGTTCAAACGAGACCATAGCTAGAACCCCGTCGATGAATAGAAGAAATTGATGGGGTGCAAGTATGATAGCCATCCATCCAAGAAGTGATTTTTCCATTACGGTCGAGACCAAAAGTTTCTACAATCATTCACATGATTGGTTTGGTCCATATAAAATTCACATCCAATCACCCTGAGGCAAAAAAAAAATTGCAAACATTTAATGCTCGAGGCATTTTTCCACAAAGGTTAAATTATTTATGAGTAGGTATTTTGTCAAGACCTTGGAATCAATTTTGATATAAGTGCCGTTTAGACCACTAAAATATCCACCTTGCAGCTGTAACGCTAAGATTTTTATTTGTTGAGACTCATTGTCCTAAGACCAAATATTTTTGTTGGTACATGGTTGAAAGAAAAAGGACATAGAGTTACTTGGTAACACAACAGGAAGGAGTTGGTGAGAATTGAGAAAGACTTAGGAATGGGTTGCATCCAGCACACGTTTGACAAACTTTTTTGGTCGATTTCATCTCCACCTTCCGCCAACTTTGACAAACTCTGCTAAATTACAATAAATAATTCAATTTTCGTTTTTCCTTAAATATACTAAAAGGCATGCACGACTCGGTTTGACGTGTTACTGTGAGTTTACGACCATTTTCAACTTTTTGGAGGTACTTGTATATATGTTTATATAATAATTTTATAATTTGACCAAGAAAAACAATTGAAGATCTTATACTAATGTTACAACGACGATCTTGTTAATTACTCTTGTCGGTTATAAACGATTAGTTACGTGGGATTCAACAGGATGAGAGAGTACAAGATCAGGATGGAAATGATATTATATATAAATAGAACATAAAGAAATAAAAACAAGAAAATTGCATTTTGCAGTTTGTTGTAAATGTGTTTCAAATTCATCTAGAATGGAAACACATCAAAACGAACACACAATTTCAAAATATCTTACGTAAAAACTAAAAAACTAATTTTTCTGAGCTATCTTTTTACTGTCTCGCTGAATGGTAGCAATTTGGACGGTATCTTTTCAGGGTAACATCACTAGTAATCAAAAAGCCTTAATATAAGACAAAAGAGATTTGCAAAAATGTAAATCTATTATATGTCGGTCGTGAGTTATATTAGGGAGGTGCTTTTCGTCAAATCACCAAACCTCGATTCTGTTTCTAATTATACCGTAACAACTTTGCAAAAATAGATGGGCCTCAAAAGATTAAGACGATCAATCAAATAACATAAAGAACAATCATCAGTCAAATTCTAATCTCCAACTCCTACCATTAGTTTTTATTTTATTTCCCGTGAGGTCGATCGGTTACTGAACTTAACAAATAGAACTTTACACGACATCTCTCTTTTGATTTAATTATAGTAAAAATATGATACACTTAGAAAATAAAAATTATGCCTAAAACAGAAAGAAAGATGAAAATAAAATAAAACAAAGTTCCCGTAGAAAGTGGGAACACGAAGAAAGTAGAAACAAAGTTGATGTGAACTACAGAGACTAAACAGAAACCACAAAGACACAGCCAAAAAGACCTACTCCTCCACTAACTTGTCTTTTGTCTCGAGACTTGGTTTGGCTCTCTCCAAACCCTTAAAAACAGTCGAACGAGACTGACAACACAAAACTCTAATGCTCTTTGTGAAAATGATTTTTGTTAGGTCGAGACAAGATTATGTTTTCTGAATAGTATCAAGTGCTTTGGTCACTGATTTGACTAGCTACTAAAATTATCGCTTCGAAGCTAACTCACGGTTTTTATTTCACCTCAAAACTCAATATTTTTTCTTTTTTTTTTTGAATGGGCTCGGAATGATTTGGGTAAACCGAAACGAACCGGGCAGAATAAAAAGGGGGAAAAAACACAATATTGTATTTAAAGATGGCAAAGTATGTAACAAAGAGTCAAGACTTATATGATGGCTTCATCATCTCTTTCAAATTTGTTTCTTCAAATTTCAATTCTACTTCTCATTATCACTCTCATGCCCTGCAAGACATCTTCTTCAAATCAAACACCACTCGTCTTCTCTCTCAAAACCCAACATCTTCCTCAATCTTCTTCAGACAAACTTTCTTTCAGACATAATGTCACTCTCACTGTCTCTCTCTCCGTCGGCTCTCCACCACAAAACATCTCGATGGTTCTTGACACCGGAAGCGAGCTCTCATGGCTTCACTGCAAGAAATCTCCCAACTTAGGATCCGTTTTTAACCCGGTTTCGTCTTCTTCCTACTCCCCTTTACCTTGTTCCTCGCCAATTTGCAGGACCCGGACCCGGGATTTGCCAATACCCGCCTCATGCGATCCGAAGACCCGTCTTTGCCACGTGGCAGTCTCCTACGCCGACGCTACCTCGATCGAAGGCAACTTAGCTCACGAGACGTTCGTAATCGGGTCGAAGACCCGACCCGGGACAATATTCGGTTGCATGGACTCAGGTTTAAGCTCCGATTCGGAGGAGGACGCTAAATCGACCGGTTTAATGGGCATGAACCGAGGGTCTTTATCGTTCGTTAACCAATTGGGTTTCTCAAAATTCTCTTATTGCATCTCCGGTTCAGATTCCTCCGGTATTTTGCTTCTCGGGAACGCGAGTTTCTCGTGGCTCGGTCCCATCCAATACACGCCTTTGGTACTCCAAACGACGCCGTTACCGTATTTCGACAGAGTAGCTTACACGGTCCAATTAGAAGGAATACGGGTCGGGTCAAAGTTGCTTTCTTTACCCAAATCAGTTTTCGTACCGGACCATACCGGGGCAGGTCAGACGATGGTGGATTCAGGTACACAATTTACGTTCCTGATGGGGCCGGTTTACACCGCCTTGAAAACCGAGTTTATTGCGCAAACCAAATCGGTTCTCAAAGTTGTAGACGATCCAAATTTTGTGTTCCAAGGGACCATGGACCTCTGTTACCGGATTGGGTCGTTGACCCGGCCCATTTTATCGGGTTTGCCTGTTGTTAGCTTAATGTTTCGTGGCGCGGAGATGAGCGTGTCGGGTCAAAAGCTGCTGTATCGGGTAAACGGAGCCGGGTCAGGAAAAGATCAGGTGTACTGCTTCACATTTGGGAACTCCGATCTTCTGGGAATTGAAGCATTTGTGATTGGTCATCATCATCAGCAGAACGTGTGGATGGAGTTTGATTTGGCTAAATCAAGGGTTGGATTTGGTGCTGACGTCAGGTGTGATCAAGCCAGTCAACGGCTCAGATCACGAGATTGATAACCTGTGGTAAAACTGTAAAAGGGAATATCTTCTAGACCACATACATGCTCGTAGAGTTTTATTTTTTATTGTTGTTGGGGAAATTAGTACGAACCTCTAATATAGGAAATCTTAATTTTCTTTTACTAGTTTTAAAGAAAAATTTTTATAGTAATTCCACTTCAAAGATGAAAACATATATATAAATACCCAAATATTGTTTAGACGACTCAAAAAGTATAACATTTATAGTTTTTTTTTAAATTATTTTACAACATTTTCAGTCTCTCGTGATGTAATCGTCAAAAGTCAGCAGTTATTTTTTTCCTCTCTTTTTTTTTTTGCGTTTATAGTTACAATTATTCCAGGATTAATAATTTGAAACAAACAATGTTTTTAAGTATAAATTTACCAACGAAGCTAGCCATCTAGTGTCGTCTATTGTTTTCAATAGTCAGCTACCAAATGTAACTACACTAGAGAGTGGTAAAGAGCTCTAGAAGTGCATTATACCGCAGGCTGCGTTCAAATTTTGCTATCTAGTGGGAGCCCATGCCATTTGCAATGGAATAAGTAATCGCATTACCTCCCTATAGCTTGTTATGAATGAAGCAAATAAGTCCCTCCTAACTAGATGGAAAGCTAGCTACTCAGCTTTAATATCTTCTCTTATGAACTATTGTCTGTTTTTACTTGATTGTGCTATATTGTTTTTAGCTTAAAATGTTTCCAAGTTGCTGTACATATTTTTTTTCTCTGTTGATCAATAGATCACATTTCAAAGACAACAAAAAAAAAATCGTCTCCAGTGATAATACACAACAATCTCTTATTGGAATAGTCTGATTAATAAAGCAAACACACACCAGACGTTAAAGAAACTAAAAAAAAAAAAAAAAAAAAAAATAGAGAACACACACCAATCTCGTAAAGAAATTGTTTTATTCAGTTGACATGAGTAGCTGGTTTTCTTTCAACTAAGATGGGCTTGGTAAAGACTTCAATGGTGTAGATAGCATCGGTGGAAGCTCGTCCATGGAATTGGGTGACCCTGCGGCCTTTCTCCTCGATCGAGAACTTCTCACCAGAATCCTTTCCAAACAGCTTTGTCTCCCTTTTGTTTCTCTTGAACCGAATAGATATCGTCTTTGTAAATGGTGTGCCCGGGATTACCTTATAGTAGCCTACTAGCCTTCCACACCCGTCACATATTCACCCCCACTAGTATCAATCTTAACCTGCAAAAAAGCTCAAACAAAATAAACAAAAGATAACTAATATATAGTTGAAACACACACACACGCACACAAAAAAAACTCTATTTTGTTGTTGTTTTCTTAAAGAAATTTGACCTCTTCAACTCCGAGTGATGTCATCTTCCCATGCTCATCACCAGATACAAGCTGGAGAAAGGCTATACCTTCTTCATATAGTCCTATACGTATCTTGCTTACACCGTCGAATAAGTCGAAGCCAGTACCATCATACCATGCATCTCCTATCTCTGGCTGCGGAGTAGAAACAGGTCCAAAATATGCTCCAAGAGCATCAATAGCCTCACCTTCTTTTCCATGGAATCCCACAAGCTTATGACCATTTTGCTTCAAAACAAACTTCTTACCCACCTCATACCCAAACAATGCTGTTCTTCCCTTTGATGTTTCCAACTTAAGCGAGGTAATCACGGTATTGCGGAATAGGCTCGGCTTATCATAGGTTGCTTCCACCGATTTTATGTATTCATCCGGGTGTTCAACCACAAACTGCAACAAGAAGCATAATTCAAGAACAAGATTTTGTTTCAAGAAATCCAAATACATGGATCTAGCTACAAGAGTAGAACCGGTTTTGGATGTTTTTGTTGTTGTTATAAGTACTATAATACCTCAGATGGTGTTTCTCCTTTCACCCATGGTGACGTGTCTTTAACTTGCCAACTTTCACATAATCGAACTCTAAATAAGTGATACGGCTATCATCTTTACCAATACGCAGCCTCAGAACGCCTTCGTTAGAGCCATCGTCCCAAACAGTCCCTTCTGTACCACCTTGAGCTCCTAGCTTGTAAAGAGGGAATGGCGTGTCCGGAGAGTCTTGTAAAATGTAAACTCCAAGAGCGTCGATAGCATTATCCGACCGTCCATGAAAACCTACGATCTTCTTACCCTCGTCCTCCAAAACAAACTTTGTACCGGCCACAACTCCGAACAAGTTTGGCCCAAACGTTGGAGACGTTTTACCCTTTGAGGTCTTGAAGACGAGGGACGTGATCAACTCTGTTGCAGTCAGAGCCACTTTGTTGTAGCTTCCCTCCACCGCTATGATGTGTTCATCAGGATGTTCAAGTACAAACTGTATGTGAAAAATGCCATTTATTGAATCAAGAAATTAAAAATACACGAATTAGAATATTAATTGACTGAAGTTTTTAATGTACTGGTTTAATTAATGCCTAGCATGTTATAATTCGGAATGCACATGTGCGAGTTATAGACGGGCAAATAAATAAAAAACGTCTACATAAAAAAATAAAACAAAAAAAAAAAAAAAAAATGCAGTGGAGAACCTCTCTAGGTTGTTGAGTTATTGTCCCGTATTCACGTGTTACCACTTCGCCGTCTTCCTTCACGTACTCGAATTTGATGTAAGTGATACGTGAGAGATCTTGCCCTACATACACTTTTCTCACACCCTCGTACACATCGTCGTCCCATTCAGTTCCTCCTTCACCACCGCAAATTGCCAGCTTCTGGTACATCTTTGCCATTTCGAATCTTCACACTCCTGTGAAACAAGGAAAAAAAATATTAAACCAACTCTATGTCTTATAAAAGTATTTCTATGTTTTATAAAAAATTATTAAACTATTTCTATGGTTTATAAAAAAAAATTTTTTAAAAAAAAACTATTTCTATGTTTCTAATATAGATATAGTTTGCAAACAAAACGAATCTTTTTAAAATTCTGCTCGGAATGACTCCTAAATAAATGGTTGTGGCTTGACAAAAAGAATATAAAGGGTAATCATCATATGAGGGCTACCAAAAATGGAAACAAATGTGAATAACTACTTCAAGTACGAACAAAAAATTAGAGACAGAGAGAGAGAGAGAGAGAACCAGTAATTCCTTGGGATCTGACTGAGAATGAAGGCGATGAACCTTATGGGTGTTGAAGTGTGTATTTATTGACTCTTATCTCGTGAGTTGTAACCAACACGTGTTTCACGACTCACGAAGGACTTTCACAATTGCAATAATTGCTTAGATAACGAGCTCCATATATTTACAATTAATTATATTGATAAGATCATAAGAGGAACTGGGGAGGAGCGATGGAGTTGCAACCAACTGCGGACACGTTTGCCGGTGCTTGGATCTACGGCCGTGAGTGAAGCGAGATTGAAGAGAATTCTTGTCAAACACGTATCCCTTTTGCGATATATATATATATATATATATACTTCCTCTGTCTTACGATCGAGATTGATTCTGCAGATACACTTAATTAAATGATATTATACACTTAATTTCTACGAGTATTCCTTTGTTTCTTACACTACAAAGAACATATATCATTTGTATGAAACAAATTCCTACCAATTAGCCTTGAACGAGGAAATTGCTACACATGCAGTTCAATTAGTCACAAATTTGGATCTATCGGCAATTTTTTTCGCGTAAATTTTCAAAAAGAAAAAAATGTATAGCCAGGTGACCCATTGCAATTTGTGTTTCGTAAATCCTTCACAAAATTTACAATGAATTTGTTAGAAATTTACGAGAAATTTGTTTACAAGCCTCGTAACTCCATCATAAATTTACTAGGGATTATCAGTTTTTGAAACTCCCTCACAAATTTACTACTCTCTCCGTTTCATAATAAGTGTCATTCGGACACATTTCACATAAATTAAAAAATTAATAAAATATACAAATATACTCTTAATTAATATGTTTTTATAACATTTAATTACAAAAATTATTATCTTTAAATGAAGGATAAAAAAGGAAATAAGAGTAAAAAGTTACATTGAAAATGCAGAATGACACTCTTTTTAAAACAAAAAATAAAATCTAAAACGACACTTATTATGAAATGGAGAGAATAGTATAAATGTACTAAACTTTAATTCTTTTGGCAAAATTATCTAATTACATAAACAAAATGTAGTATCCATTAAAATAAAATTGATGTAAAAAAATTAGGAAAAAAAAAAACAGAAACTACAGTTCAGTTATTTCCCGGACCTCGATAGATAGCTGGGTAATCGTTTGACCATAATTCTGTCACCTGGACGAAATTTTGATTTCCTCAGAGTCTTCTAAAACACCAACTATATGTGCAGGTAGTTTGTATTAGTATATCAGTCTCGTATCATAAGTCATAACACGAGTTTAATCTTATTAGTATATGTGAAAGTTGTCATTACAATAATTGCAATGACGTAAGAATATAGATTTATCACTTAAAAAAAACAAAAATGGTGTTATGAACAATTCAAATGGTAACACGTTTCTTAGTAGAGAAGAGAAATGAAGGGAAATTTCGTCTTCTCGCCCGTCTGTGTCTTTTTTTCTTTTGGGGAAACCCAATAAATTTTGGGCCTTAAGCCTATAATAGGACCAAAGCAGATTGTGTCTTTATGCCCGTAAGGCTGTAACTGAGTTCTGAACAACTTAAAGGATGATCTCCAATCACTGATGAGAGAATCGAATCCACATGGATGAAGAGTGGCGTAAACCATTCCACACTAGAAGATCGCATGTTTAGAGAAGTTCTGTTCGAAAGAGTTTGTTTTATGTTCTTAATTATGCAATTTAATAAAATCATTAATTTTTCGGATTTTTCAAATTAATTTTTTATTTTCTTTTAAAAAGAAAAAAATTTGAATCTCCTTTAATTTCATTCAAGTGTCCCCATATCGGGACATTGTTTGCAACTTACAAGATGAGTAATCTGAGAAGGTAGAGAAAATTACATATAGAGTAAAAAAACAGAGCATAATTCTTTTTTTAAAAAAGAGGAAATTATAATTTTATATTTTGTATTTCAGTTTATCATAATCTTCTCCTTTCAGAAAATGAGATGAAGAGAAATTCCTTTCGTATATTGGATATAGAAAAGTATAGATATACCCATGATGTAGTGATTAAAGGATTGCTCCAATTAATAAGAATATGAAATTAGAGAGGATTATATCAAATATTATAGGATGGGTCTTTGCCTATGTCGTTGGAGACTCTACTTGGAGGGGTCCCCCCAACCCTCTCAATAATTGTCTTCTCCAAAACAAAACAAAACAAACAAAAATAATAATGATTTAGGATATATTCAAAATTTAGTATATGTGTAGTCTTAATATATATCAGTTGATGAAGTATGAAGAAGTATCTTTTATTTTCGAACTTTATGCTATTTTAATTGTGTAGAGACGTACAAGGGGGCACATAAACTGACAAAGCATATCAAGGAGACGCAAGTCATGCCATATGCTGGTGGGTATCCATATTTGTTCATGTGATGCTATCAAAGACCCATAAAATTTCCCCCAAAAAATAGAAACCTATCCATTGTTTATAAAAATAAACGATTTCGGTTCTTTGAATATTTCAGTTTCTTTGATCCTTTCATTACCTACTTTTATTTTTGTCTTACATTAATTCGATAAATCAAAAGATATGTCGACTCATATATGTCCATGCATACACACGTCACATACTCTTTGCATGTCTGCCATTGGACTGATTTGTCGATCGTCTAGCAATATAATGATTTCACCGTTGAGAAAATTTACCAATAACCAATCGCAACAAAATATAAGGTGACAACATATATATAGTTGAAAACTTCATATATATCGAAACAAAAATTAAAGGATAATAGAGGTCTATGTCTCTTGTGCTCGTCTAACTATGTGTCTTCTTGTACTCGTCTAGTTTAACATATTGCTTTTGTAATACTCCTATCCTTCATAATAAATAATAAATGTCATTTTGACACATTTCACACAAATTAAGAAATTAATAAAATATATAAATATATCCCTAATTAATATACTTTTATAATATTTAATTACAAAGATTATTATTTTTAAATGAGAGATAAAACAGGAAATAAAAGTAAAAAGTTATATTGAAAATGCAGAATGATACTCTTTTTTGAAACAAAAAATGAAATCTAAAACGACACTTATTATGAAACGGATGGAGTATGTCTTTTCCGTTTCCGATGATATGTCTCTTTCTTGAACTCTATTATTTTATTTTTGTTTAAGATTGAGTGGTAAAATTTTTCTGTTGTCTAAATACTCACGACTTTAGCAATACGAATCGACCTTCATTATAGTAAATTATTTTCTGGATAATATATAGTATATATAACGTTCTCATGTAGTTAATATATAGTCTTATAGATGTATGTATGCTCGTCTCTACTATTATTATTCGCGCTTGCGTGTCACGGATGTGATTGTTGACCAAACATGGACCCTAATGCTTATTTTGTTACATTTTTGTGTTCATTTCACGGAATGATTTTGGATCGAGGTTACCGGTTTTATAGGGTTTGAGATTAGCCTTCGGCCTTCACCCTTTTTATAACTTTTGTATGTACAATAATAATTAGAATGAAATATGCTCGAAGCGTTATCACTACCATATACACTAGATTAGTAGATTTCATTCTAAACGAACAAAATAAATATCAACCATCTGCATAACTGGTAGCTTGTTGAATACCAGAATTCATTCTAAACGAAATAAATATCATCAGTCAAATCTGACACAGATCCATAGTATTACCGACTACTGTATGCAATGATCACTGCACATCGTATTCTTCCATAGCAAAATAATTCCCTCTGATGTAATTATGTAGATGGTTCAATACTTGTTTTTTTCCACCAAATTAAATGGTTATACGCTTCTATATAATGATTCATAAAATTGATATATAATTGCTACTCGTCTCTCCACGTGATCGCTGCATGCATGAGTTAAAATGGCTAGCTATATGGCTCCAAAAAATGTCATCAGTCACACCTCAGGACGATTATCTTAATGCAATTAATATAACCGGGAAATAGAGCTATAGTTCTTGTTCCATTACATATCGTGTAGGTAATATATTATACCATGTGATTATGAATCTGGTAAAACTCCAACACCTGTTCTATATGGCAGGGAGTAGCATTTCCTCCTTCGTAGCTAGTATATTGTTGTCTTTGGAAGAGGAAGAAAACTTGCATTTCGTTACACTTTTTCATTAGTTTGAATATGAGAAAGAAAAAAAAGAATACAAAACAGTCAATTATAGAAAATTCCTCAATAATTGTCGATAAAATAAAATAAACAAGACGGCCACGAAAGAATAAAGCAAGTCAAACGGAATTTTCCGGAACTCCGGATATGTCTATAAAATATCATCCAAATTACGCATGCTAATGGAGAATCAAACGTTTTACAATCATTAAACAAAGATCCTGTGGATTTGTGGGGATTTCTAACATACGCTTTTTCTTTACCATTTAAAAAAATCTATTTATAGGCTTTTTCTTTACCAGTTTATAAATTATATAAATATATATATATATACTATTCTTTCCGAAATAACAAGCTATGCACGAAATATATAACACATCTAAAACGATCTTGCATAGAATAACACTTTCGAAAAATGCTACGATAGTTTGACCCTGTTGTAAAATACTCAAAGCATCCAGTATCAAACGCCATTTTGTAAAAGAATCTATAATTCTTTTTATAGTTTCTAGTCACATTCTAATATTTCCGTTTCTACAATATACGCTCAATAACTAATACTTCATTTATAACATACATTTGAAATAATGATAAATTATATTGGTTGAATTAAATTCAGTTTTCTGGATTTATCTGAGTATAAGAGTGATTACTCCTGTGAAATACCGCTCAACTGTCATAGATTAGTTATTGGTTTATTAACTATAATTTTAATTCCAGTTGTCTGGATTAATTTGAATATTTGTTAGAGTAATCTCTTGTGAAGAATAATTGATTCTCTCAATTGTAATATATAGTTTATGTTTCTATAATTACCTCAGTTGACATATATGATATACTTATATCAATACTGATCAATCGATATTTTAGCATGATATATGTCAAATGATCATAAATTCGGATAGCCTAAAGTGGTAAGTTCCATTGTAAATGGACAGACTTACATCGTGTACTGATTTGGTAGCAAATCATATTTGGTTACTGTCTCAAATCAATCATTACCAGAAAATTTACTAATGATATAAACAGCGTCGGTAGTAAAGAATATATACCATTAAAATTTCTAATGCAGTACTTGTTTTTTGTTTGCGAAATATATACCAGACGACGACAAAAAATATATACCACTATATAGCCATATAGGTTAAAAGATGTATTACAAATATAGTATAAAGTAGAATTAATGGAGTCAGATGCATATGATATCTCTGCATTTGCAGAGATGCCCCATGGTAAGAAACTAGGGGAAAACCCAGCTGTTTGTTTTCCATGTGATTTAATTAATTCAGATTTTTTTTTTTATCAACTAATTTTCATTCCACGAGAAAACTACTCAAAAATAGCAGTACAAACATTGATGTTCCCTCATTTCACTACTCTCTCAGTTTCATATTAATACTAATATTTTAAAACTTAAGTATTTTATTTTAACTGTTATTTTCGATTTTTAGTACAGTTGTTTATCATATTTTTTGCTTTTATCTCTATGTTAACTATTAATTAAGGTGATCACATTATATATATAATTTTAAATTTTTTTTTTGATCAATTCAATACAAATTTGGAGTTCTAATATAACTATTTGTATTATGCAATATTTTTATAATTCGTTAAATTTTCTACTTAAGTATTAAAATGTTATTTATGTAATTTCTTAATAATTTTTTAGAGAAAAAATTGTATAAGAGATCAAAATACTGTATGTAGTTTTGTACTAATAAACTTAAGAAAACTTTTTTAGTAGAAAGATATAGGTTTTGGTGCTTTAAAAAAGGCTTCCCGTAGTAATTTTTTGAAAAAAATATTTTAAAAATTACAAATTGAAATGTATGAAACTGAATGAAAAAAAAAAGATGAAAAATGTAGTCTTTATCCAAACATATAAATAACAATCTTGATTCGGTTAAATTAGATTTTCTTTGTACAACAAATAGTTTAATTATTTCAATACAAAATTACAAAGTTAGTATAAACCAAACTTTCAGAAAAGAAATTATTATATAACCAGATACATGTGGCATATGATGAAAAAATTACATAACCATATTAAATTAAATATATTTATATGACCATATTATGTTAAAGTATTTAGAAAGCATCGCAAAAGTATAAGAATAAAAGAGGTCGTAATCATATTGAACACATTTTTTAAATTATTGGAACAAGTCTAAGTTGGCCTAGTCTCGGTAGATTATTAAGTTAGTAACGATTTTACAAGTTTAATATTATATCAATAGCCATAAACAAGAGGGCTTGACTTTAAATATTATTAATTAATGAATTATGTATGTTACTTTTATATGAATATAGTCTTAATTAATTAATAGTTATATTAAGAAAAAAGAGAGAAAAACTAATCACTTTGTCAGACTAAGCACACAAGATCCACACATATCTTAATCGTAACAGTTCCAATGGAATCTTTTTCCCTCTCTAACCTCTAGACTCTAGAGAGAGATAGAAACGCCACATTCATCTTCGTCGTCATCATCACAGTAAATATCATTAATGAACATGAAGAAAAAAGCAGAAGAAAAAAGCAAAAGAAAAAAAGAACAACAAACAAAACTAATCGTCACAAGAAGTCGAAAGACGAATCTAAATACTATTTTATATTAACTTATTTTACAATTTTCTGTTTTTTTTTTGGTTTTCCTGATTGAAGCAACATTGAAGCTGATCTTTATGCAGAGCCTCTCTTTCCAGAAACCATATGATCAAACATAAAAATTACAAAACTAAAACTCATCTAAAGAAGCAGAAACCAAAGAACCCTTTATGTACACGTATGTCTATCTACTTCGGTTTCAGAACAGAGAAAGAAAAAAACAGAGGAAAGAGAGATAAAGAAACAGAGAGAGAGAGAGAGAGGTTTGTGATTGATTTTACGAATCGGAGTAATTATCTCTCCAGCAAATAAGCATGATTACGCAACGACGCATGATGTAGAAGCGAGCTCTCTGTTCTTTGACCAATCTCGCACACTTCCTCGTAAAAGCGCATCTCCCCTGTTTCTGCGTCTTCTTGCCGCCGCTGATGGAGAAAGAAGATGTCGACGAGGAGCGCGTGATCCTCGACGCGCCGCCGTAGAATCCGTCTTTCTTCGTCAGCTTCCACTTCTCGTCTAGGTGGAATTGCGGCGCACTTCCCGATCGTGTCAGGCCGGACGACGCCATTTGATGATGATGTAAAGATCTCAAGATTTCAGCTTCTGTTTTGATGTCTTTAGTGTGATCTCACCAAGAAAACGGTTAATATTTTTTTTTTTGGAAATTGATGATGAATTGTGAGGAATTGAGCGATAAAGAAACAAACTTGGGAATTTGGAGATTTTCTCGGAGTTGGGGAGATTTGAGTCAGCAACGGAAAAGAGACTTAAGGAGTAGTGTAAGGATTCCGTATTTATAATAGATATTTAGAAACATATGTCGATCTAGACAAAAGAAAAAGTGAGAAATATATAATATATAGGGATTGTTTGTTTTTCTCAAATTCTGTTTATTTATTTGTTTTTTTGTATTGTTTTGTCTTCTTTAGTGATAAATATAAAACTAGAAGAGGATGCAGAGAGTTGTGGCAGTCGGTATTGCCCGGGGCCTTGTGTGCCTCGATTGCCCCACCATTACCACTTTTTTAACGAAATATTGTTAGAAAATATGTAAATAAACACCTCAGTTAATCATATCTAAAGTAAGATAATCCAAACAAATTACGGACTTTTAACGAAATATTGTTAAAAAATGCTTCAGTTGTTGTTACTTTATATCCAACCTATATCTGGCGAGAATTCTAGAGAGTAACGATATTCGCTATTCATAGGAATTATTCATGCACCTTATCTTTATGTATATATATTTTGCACCCTATACTTATGTATATGTTTTTAATGGTTTTTTTATCAACAACAAAATTGTATGGCATGATGGATTTGAGAGCAATTTGATTGATGGCCAAATCTATTTTACAATTTATACATTTTCTTGGAAATATTTTGGTCCAAAAGTTAACTGATGATTTATTAATGTTTTCATTTATGTAAAGAGTTCAATTTTCACAAAATGAGAATTTTGCAAATTAATGGAATATAAATATACAGCAAAACTTTGGTATAATGTACGTAATATAGTTATGTGTCGTAGCTATGTATGTTACAGCAAAATTGTTTATCGTTAACATAGTGCATGTATAACAGTTTGTTGTATATTATTATAGTGTGGATAACAAACAACAAATTAAATTTCACAATTTTCATGAACCCTAGAACCTAAACTAAAGTTGTTTTCACTTTGATGACAACAACAAAGAAATTGTTGTCAATCAAGAAATGTTTTTAGTATTTTAAACTTGGACGTTTGACTCATAATGCATTCGACATGAGATATATCAGCCATGATGATATTATATTTGGGGCGTAAATTGTTTTCTTAAACAGACAAAACTAAAAATGCAAGGTTTAACTTCATGGACCGAGCCAACACCTTTAGACCACCAAAAGTAGTAAATGTAATTTGGATTATCATAGAATGGATAGGGGGTTTATTGACCGAACACAATTGAAAACTGTGGAGAGGAAAATTGAAACTTTTAGAATATTAGGTCGAATTAGTGTTTGGCGATTGTCCCATTTTATTATAATTAATACATAAAACCAAAATAAATTCTAATTTTAAAAACGGAAAGGAAGTCAGAAAGTGGGGAGACTATAGAAGATGGATTTTAAATGCATCAAGGCAAATCTCAGTCGCTGACTCTTTCTCTCTGCACCTATAAGTGTAAATTACTTTGCTCAGATCAATTATTAATTTCACCATTAATAACGGAATCGTATTAAATCAATTAATATATGGTGGGTTGTAACTGTATTTTATTCATGTATATATAACGTACTAGTACTACTTACGAATCGATCAAATGTTTTTTTTTTTGGTTCAAACGCACGTATAATGTATGTTTCTTTGAATTTTTTATGTTAACCTCGCTTCACGAATCTTTATCTCTCTTTTGTACTGCGGTGAATTTTTATTTTTAAGACTCGCTAGAAAATGAAAAAGTGGATAAGAGGAAGATAAAATGTGAAATCACATGGAGGCGTTAGTAATTTGGTTTGGCTATTTCAGTGCTTACATTTTTGCCTGATTTGATGTTTCTTTCTTTTTTTCGTTCGTCTTTATACCTTTATTGAGTATATAATATTTCCTATCTTTATGTTGTTCCATGAATATTAGACTCCTGACGTGATGAAAATTAGACGTAGCGACAGAAAAGCAACGCGTTTACAAAATTTGTTATATATAAAACAAGCATATCTCAAGTTACATTATAAACAATCCACATCTTAATATACAAGTATAAAATTAAAAAACCATTGACAGTTTAGATAATAACAATTTTCAAACGCTATGGATTCTATCATACTTAACTGAATGAACTACTCACTTTAAATGAGAATCAGAATTTGTTGTGACTATTTTTGTTTTAAACCAATTTCAATTAGAAAATCTAATAATAACACTTTTTAATTCAAAAAAATCAAACTAAACTGAATAAAACCTTAACTTCATATTCAATTCGATAAAATCAAAATCCCGAATTAAACTAAGAAAATAAACCAATTGGAGCCTAATATAATGAATAAATGGAAATTTTGAATTGACGACAAAAAAAGAAGAAATTTTGAATTATTTTTCTGTGCTAAAAAATATACAGTAAACGTTTCAAGAGTGGAATCTACAAGATAGTAAAAGCGCAATATTATTGGGCTTGGAGCCCATGACCATGAATTGGATATCAACCAAATAATGTTTCAATATTTTATAAATCGACCCTTCAACTATTTTGAGTTCGGCAATTTCATTATATTGTATATATTATTATTGTTATAATTACTATGTTATTATTGTTATAATTATTAATTATGTTTGACTAAACATCTAGAAAGTCATTTTTATAAATATTTTTTTGAACATGTACCAAAAAGATTACTAAAAGGATAAAACAATCCAATTTCAGTTTCAGGTCACAAGAATCTATTTCAGCATAGTAATTTTTGCTTTGACAGAAAGTGACAAAGATATAGACTTGTCACACTCTTCCACTGCGGAAACTCATCATGATTTTGTCTTATTATCAAATTTTGGCAGCTAAAACTAAAACATTCCACTTTCCCCCACACTTAGTGTTCGTATCAATTGTATGGTGGCACGCAACGTACAATGCGAAATAAACGTTCATATCGCATATTATTGTGTTCAAATCTTCCATGATAAACGTTCATACCCCATGTCTCTCTAAATTTTTTTAAGTCCTTTAACCCCAAAAAAACAACGTTCAAGTCTGTAAACCCAAAGTTGTTTACACACCATCACCAAACCCAACGATTGAGGAGGTTTTCACACTAATTAAGTTTAATCCTAACCAAATACCCATCCATTGTAGCACTAAAGTGATGATAGAGTAAACATGTTTAATTCTCGGTAAAGAGTTTCCAAAAGTATCTTCCAATAAACTATTATACCGTGACATAAATACTGTTGGTTGCAAAGAATGTATAATCCAACTATCTATAAAATTCATAAGTTTCATCAGATCCTGGAAACGTTTGCAATCTACAGTACGATAACCAATTTATCTCCCAAAATATCACCATGTCAATTCTCAGTCGCGTTTTCTTGAGTTTCTAACTGTAGAGGGTAAATAAACAGTGAGAGCATCGTAACTTCAATGAAAGGAAACAAAGCAAAGGTCAAAAGTGAATGAATCTTTAGCAGAAAATGGTGTGGTTCTTCTTGTGTCTACGTTGAGACACGTGCGGCTAACAGGTCGGCGTGACCACTGACACGTGTTTGTAGAGATGTGTGAAAGCGAGGTCTCGAGTATCGCAGGGGACCGACTTAGCCTCCTTTTTGGGTCAACGGTCAAACTTTTTTTTTTCTCTCTTTTGTTGTGTTTTTGTTTTTTTTTAAAACTATGTCTGCACAGCGAGAATCTGCAAACTCAAAGCACGTGCTAATCGTATCTTCTTCAATCCCTCTATTTTTACCTTTGGTCGGGTTTAATTAGTTTCTCTTCTTTTCTTTACCTACTCTCTCTCTCTATTGATGTTAAAAGAGTGAAACGTTTAGTAGCAGCACAAGCATTCCCAAATAACCTGTTCTAATAATTTTCAAAAAGAATATATTTACAAAATTCTTCATGTTTTCGTGTGTTTGTTTATGTACATATCTTATGGTGTCCCTTAATGAATTCTGACATTCATACTCAGGGCGACCTAATTGTTTTTTTTTTTTTTTGTTGACAAAGGGCTACGGTGATTGGAGCAGGTAATTATTTTGATTACATTACCTCTAAAAGATGGTGTTTTCTCTAAGTGTAGTGGTAACAAATATATATCTCTTCTCGGTCATGGAGAGTATTGCGTTAAACTATTTTCTAATTTTGTCTTTATTTGAATTTAAGAATATGGTAATACAGTTGTACGTAGTTTTTAGTGCTAATATATCATCTGGGACTTCATTTTTTCAAGATGGAGTAGGGAAGGAATTTATGCTGGCGATGAAAGAATGTATTTTAATGACCATTCAAATCAGTGATAACTATATAATGTGAAGCATGAATGTGACTCATTGAATATCATTGATGCGTGGAAGAAAATAAAGATATGGGTTCATATTGGAGCGAATGGGAATATTAATACTCGTCACATGCAATTTCTGACACCATCACTTTTATGGATAAAAAAGGGCCACGAGATCTTCGATTTACGGGTATTCATCAGTTTTTCCATCCTTGATATAAAAACCCACGAACTGCAATCACTATTCCACATATACGAGATCACAAATAATGCCTCAATTAAAGCCTGACATAATTAACTGTCTATAAACAAAGTTTCATAGGTAATGTGTGCTCTTTGGATCGCATATAAATCTCAATACGTTGAAAGAAGGTATCTGATTCTTTAATCATTGAATATGAATTTCGTAGTTTTTTTTTTCTACTTCTGTAATGTCGCGATTGATAGTAAACTAGTAGTATACTAGAAACTAATTTTTTTTCTATTTTGCAAGGTTAACCTGTGTTCATGCATGTGAATCGATCGAGATGGGAATAGCTCAAATATGGGAGAGCATTAACATTTGAACACGTAAATGATCTTACTTCAAGAGCATATGGATACTTTGGTTTACATTTGAACACGTAAATGATCTTACCTCATTTTCTTCCTTTTAAAAGATCTTACCTCAATTAACAATTGCATAATTCAGAAATAATTAAGATGCATAACAGTGATGAATTAGGCTTGGATTGGTTAAACTGAAGTTAACCCCTTAAAGAAAGGTTAACCTAACCGTTTTCCAACTAAAATTTTGGTAGACAAAAAAATTGACTCAAGTGATTTTTTTTTTTTAATATATAAAC